AGCCGAGGAGGAGGTTCCGGACGCTGCTCAGGAACCGGGGACTCAGGAGTGCCCGCGCCCTGAGCGCTCAGCTCCAGAGGCGGTGAGAGGGGCGGAGAGGAGACATGTCGCGGGGAAGGGGCAGATTTGGGGGTCTAGGCTTGGAGGGGCAACGATCTGGGGCACCGGGGCCAGACGGGGAGCGTGGGGACCCCGGTCGAGTCCACTTTGTGTCAGGCCCCACGGGGTCCGTCCTTCGGTCGGTGCGTCCTGAGCGCCGAGCGTGTGCTGGAGGCGGCGTGGCTCTGGCCAGCCCATTCCACGCTGAACGGCAGTTTGAGAGTCAGACCGGGGCCTGGGGATTAGGATGCAGCCTGCTTCCCGCCCAGCCGGCTTGGCCAGGCCAGCGCCCGCCCCTCCCTCCCCGCTCAGGCTTCGGACTCGCCTCCGCTGGCGGTCTCCCGGCCCAGCCCTGTCTCGGTTCCATGTGCCCTCACCCCCAGCCCACTGCACCTGAGGAAGAGGTGGGCTTGGTGGAAAGCTTGTCCAGAGGGAAGGAGGAGCTGGGGGTGTAGGGGAGTGATGTATCTAACGTAAAAACCCTTATTAATTTCATATAATCCGTGTCAAAACTGACAGGGAAACACGCACACCTATAAGGCACGCCAGCACACACAGTGACACACACCCATGTGACTTATACACATAGTCTAGCACACTCCAAATCACAAACGTTCCTGCACTACGCATCCGGCCGCCCACCACACCCCCACTCTGTGAGGTGGGGCATCCCATGAGGAGTCTTCTGAACTGCGGGCTCCAAGTCATCAGTCCGACAGGACAGCTGAGTGGACAGAAAGGGCCACTGTCCCCAAATCCATCCTGATTTTCTGGCAGCTTTTCCTAGCCCCTGGCTTCAGATTGTTCCTCTTTAACAGTGGGGAAAGATGGGAGAAAATCTTGGTAAAACAAGGAGACAGGATTTTGCAGGCTAATGAGAGTAGGGGCTTCTGGTGGCCTCTCTTCCTGGGTCCAGTTAGGGCTTAGGGTGCTGGGAATGGCTAGTTTCTGGGTAAGAGTGGCCAAGGGATGGAGGAGGAGGGGGTGGAAGAAACGGAGAGGAAAAAGAATGGGTATGAGTCAGCCAAGAATGGAGCCCGTCAGAGAGAGAATGAGAGGAATGTGTGTGAGAAGCAGATAGACATCTCCAGAGAGGTCCAGAGATAGTCAGGGAACCAAGGAGAGGGAGGAAGTGAGAGACAGAGATGGTCAGAGAAGTGTGAGAAGTGCTTGAGAGTGCACTAAACAAATTAGGGAGGATGAAGGTGGGGGAAGACCACTGGGAGTTAGGGAAAGTGGTATGTGTGTCTGGGCCCCAGGCTGTCAGAGCGATTAGCTTTAATTGCTCTTCCCTTTGTGGTTAAATACTCCGTTGGGGAAATTGCCAGTGATGCCCTAGGCTGCAGGCTTCCCTGGTTGCCTACTTCCTCAATTCCGTGCCCATCATGTGTGGATGTATTATCATGCATGAAGAGGGTCACAGAATCAGA